TGTTTCAACAAACACTGACTAACTTGGCCCTCATGGTGAGAACCAGCCTCCAAACCTAACTCCTCTTTTGTATAAACTATTCTGGCAATATTATTTAAAATACCATAATTTTCACATAACATTTATACTTTTGGCTGTCTGAGGACACATTTTGAATATTAAATCAGGTGTTATGATCAGTTACTCAGTACTTGAGCAGTTTACCAAATACCTTTTACACTTGCTTAATTAAATGTGTTTAAGGTATGCTACTCTGATTGGAGTACAATTTTGGAGTACTCTATGCATGAATGATTGCTCTATGGATCACTTTTTAAAAACAAAAAACACCGCCATAAAATAATGTCTATCAGTGCAGCGGACGTCCACCACATGAGAGAAGGGCCACAGCCATGGTGGGCGGCCCTTATTGTTGTTTCTGCTGTCAACTTAGCATCTTTTAACCCAACCGCCAGGCTGACAGGTTCACTGGGGGAAACCCTGTCAAATAAATGTAAAAAATAATGTCAAATGATAATAATAAATAGAAACACAATTTATTGTTTCCTATATTTTCTATATAGGAAACACCGATACATTTCCTATATTTCTATATTTATTATGTTAAATATATTTAATATAGATAGATAGATAGAATAGATAGATAGATGTACTTTATTCATCCCAACCGGGAAATTACTGTGCAGTTGCAGCATACACATACACAGATCAAATTAGAATATGAAAAATAAAATAAAAATAAGATAAATGCATAAAATATAAAATGTAAGCTGTAATATTCTGTACAGTATGAACAGTGAAAATTAATAATCTGTACAGTCTGTACAATAGTGCTTTGTAAACAATCTGTACAATATCGATTAATGGGCAGATATGTACAAAGGTAACTTAACGTTTGTTATATAAAGTGATAGCCTGTGGCAGGAAAGATTTCCTGTATCTGTCCCTGCGACAGCAGACCTGAAGCAGTCTGTGTGAGAAAGAGCTGCGCTGTCTGTCAACTGTGTGGTGGAGAGGGTGCAGCTTGTTGGCCATGATAGACAACAGCTTCTTCAACGTTCTCCTCTCCACCACATTTTCCAGGGTCTCCAATTGCAGACCCATTACAGAGGCAGCTTTCCTGATGAGCCCATTCAGTCTTTTAGAGTCGCTGGCTCTGATGCTGCTACCCCAACACACAACAGCAAAGAAAATGGCACCTGCAACAATCCTGTTGTATAACATCTCCAACATCTTGCTGCACACATTAAAGGATCTAAGCTTCCTTAGGAAATAGAGTCTGCTCATCCCCTTCTTGTACACAGCATCAGTATTGGATGACCAGTCTAGTCTGTTGCCGATCACCACTCCCAAATATTTATAGTCCTCCACCTCCTCCACCACCTCCCCCTTAATCCTCAGTGGCTGTGAAGGCGTCTTCCTCCTCCTGAAGTCGATCACCATCTCTCTGGTCTTACTGATGTTAAGCCTCAGGTGATTCCTGTCAGACCACTCCACAAAGCCATCCACCAGTGTCCTGTACTCCCCCTCCTCTCCACCTCTCACACACCCGACAATCGCCGAGTCATCGGAAAACTTCTGTAGATGACATGACTCGGAATTGTACTGAAAATCAGTGGTGTACAGAGTAAAGAGAAAAGGAGAGAGCACAGTTCCCTGCGGAGCTCCGACATCACTGACCACCCCACCAGACAAGACACTGCCCAGACGGACAAACTGTGGCCTGCCAGTCAGGTAGTCAATAACCCAGGAGATCACAGAGTCGCCGACACCCATCCCCCGCAGCTTCTCACCCAATAGCAGAGGCTGGACAGTGTTGAAGGCACTCGAGAAATCAAATGATTAGATATATGCTTAATCATATTTCTGGTTAAACAGAAATATGAGGTGAAACTGTGATATATCTGTGCTAATATTCGTCAATAGAGAAAGAACTGCTCATACGCCGACATGCAGTTCCGCTCCTGACCACTAGAGGGCACATCTCAATGCTAAGTGATTTTTTTGTTTGAAGGAAATAAAGTTTTGATTTTTAGGAGGTGGACATTTTTATAGAGAATATTATTAAACATATTAAAAAAGGATTTTTCATCGCTGCCTTTTCTGTCAACTTATTTATTGTATCTGTTGCAACAAACTTCATATTTTAGTTTTACATCAGCTGAAATAATACAGCTGATATAATTAACACAAATATATATAATTAACTCCTGTTCTTTCAGCCCAGAAAGGGAATTAGACCAGAAGATACTTACTTATACTTATCAACCCGGTCAGGAGTATCTAGTTTATATCCTTTGGATCAAATGATTCTTCTTTTGCTTTTTCCTTTGGTTTTTATTTTGATTGCATTTTCTGAGTTGCCTCGTTACTGAAAATATGCTATATAAATAAAATTACCTTACAGAATAATGAATTGAATAAAATATTGATATAATGATATGCAAGAGTAAGGACACGTTTTATTTTCCAGCATAGTGTGAACCTTTTAAAATATAAAGGCATATATAAATACACAGCAGCTGGTTCTGGATCTTCACATGTGAAGTTATAAATTGAGAAAAGGAAGTGGAGCGGGAGTCCAGTGGGCGGGGCTTCACAGTCAGCTTCTCTCCTATTGGTCAACATCAAGATTCAAAATTATCTGAATCTTTATTATTATTTACAGACTAAATTTTAAATTAGTCTGTAAAGTGAAACATTGAGATTTGTTTATAAGGCAACCTTTCTAAATAAAGCTTAATGAAAATAAAGTTGAGAAAGTTCTTATTTTTTATTTTCTGGACACCATATTGGCCACATCAGGTGGAGAACCGCTGGCAACAGAACCACAGACTGTACTGGTCCAGAACCAGAACCATGTTCTTTATAAAACAAGAAGCAGCAATCTGAAGGCACACAGGTTCTTCTATAGTTCTGCCCTCCAGACCTCCTCTCCAGAGATGTAGGTGGTTCTGACCCGAAGCCCGTCGTCCAGCAGAACCAGGTCTGTGACATGGAGACAAACACAGTTAGAGCGGCTCCAGAACCTCCAGAACCGTCCAGAGGGAGAAAAGGACCTGCGTCGGCGCCATAGTGCAGGCTGCCCTTTCTGTGGCTGATACCGAGCAACCGGGCCGGATGCAGCGCCGCCGCCTCCAGGGCGTCCTCCACGCTGCAGCCTGGGGGCAACAAAGAGGCGGAGTCAGAGGGGGCACAGTCAACCAGCAGGTTCTGTAGAACCAGCAGCTGGAGCTCAACCCGACCCCATGGCTCTGGTGGAGGAGGGTCTCAGGGCCTGCAAGACTGAAACATGGTAATGCAGGTATCATGCTGTGGTATTGCTCCACTCATCACATACCAGAACAATGGATCCGGTTCAGCACATTTTTAAAAGAAAAGATGAGCACAAATGGACCAGTACAGCAACCTGGTATTGCAACAGAACCAGCAACAACACGGAAACAGGAAGTGGCGGCGAACTGACCTGCAGCCTGCTTGAAGTGGCGAACGCACATGTCCATGGTGGCGATGCTGCCGCTCAGCGTCTTGGTGCCTGAAACACACAGACTTGTGATCACCTGCTGATGTACATATCCACTCTGCCCCCTGACCTCTGACCTCCCCTTGAGCCACAGAGTTTATGCATATGCCAGTTTAACTGACATCATCCAATCAGCAGACAGCTTGCTGCAGGTCCGGGTTTCAGATTAACCAGAGATTTAGTCTTTCCACGCTGGTCCGGTACGATATGGTAATCTGTCCAGTCCAGGTTTTCATGCTGATCCTGTACCGTGACGGTTTTGGGGGCTTGTCCAGGAGATTAATCAGCTAACTCACATTAATCCCACAGGATCAGCTGAGAATAATTAGAAATACACAGCAATGCTACACATTGCTGTGTATTTCACCCCCTTTCAGATTTCTGCTGCTGCTTCGTAAAATGGAAATGCTCAGATTCAGAAGCCTTTTATTGATCATAAAAGGAAAATAATTTGGTTTCAGATGAAACTAACTTCAACGGGACAAAGATAACAGCTTTAACCTGATAACTTTACTTATTAAAGAAAAAACTCCTAAACCCAACTAATGTGTGAAAAAAATATTCATCCCTTGAAAACAGAATCTGACAGCTTACCAACATCACCATGGATGACCTTTGACCTGCCCTGCTGAACTGATTTCAGACAAATGCGAGGGCTGGATCAACCTGATTAAGGTCATGATATACCATCTCAGTCTGATTTATATCCAGACTTTGACTAGGCCACTTTTGAAGTTAGATCAATATTCCCCAAATCATTTTAAAACTCAAGTTGTCCTCGACTTTAATCAATAAAATGAAACATCTTAGCAGGAGGAATCCATGGGGGTCAAATACTTTTCCCCTGCTCAGCAGTCACTGGCGGCGGCGAGGGAGACGCAGACCTGCCACGTAGGCGTGCAGTCCCTGGATCTGGACGACCTGCTGGCCCAGCGTGTGGCGGCCCGGAGGGAGGCCCATTGCCGTGATGGCGTCTGTCACCAGCACCAGCCCTGAGGGACACACACATCCTCAGAGACATCCTGGACATTTACACTTACTGGTTCGGGTCTGGTCAGAACGTCCCGGAACGGACCTGACGGGTGCGCCCGATGGGCGATGCGCAGGGCGGCCGGATTGGTGTGGATCCCATCAGCGATCATCCCGTAGAACACAGTGCGACCTGCCGGGATCTGGTCGCTGGTCAGGAGACCCACGATGCCCGGGTCGCGGTGGTGGAACTGGACCGGGTAGAGAGAGGGCTGGGTCAGCACCTCCTGACCGAGCAGGTCCTGACCCGCCCCGGTTCTGCTGGGACTCACCGGCAGCATGGCGTTGAACAGGTGGGTGATGAAGGAGGCCCCGTGGCGCACGGCATCCTCCGCCTGGGACAGGTTGGCCACTGAATGTCCTGCAAACAGCGTCTCTACGTCACACGGCTGACCCGACTCACCAGAACCAGAACCGTGGGGTCAGGGAGAACCACCTAGAGACACAGTGACGCCTTTCTGCCGCAGCGTGCTGACCACTGATTGGCTGTGGGGCAGCTCGGGGGCCAGCGTCACCATGGCAACGTTGTCCAGGCTGCCATAGGTCTCCATCAGGTCGTCCGTCCCTCCAGACCGGAACGTCCTCAAGAACCGCTCCGGGTGGGCGCCCCGCTTCTCCGAGCTGATGAACGGACCCTCCAGGTGGAACCCTGGACACCGGGGGACATGGGAGACAGGCTGGACAAGCAGGAGACAACATGGATCGCCCTGGGGTCCAACAGTCTGACTGGAGGCAGGTTCATTTCTGCTCATCATGGGTTTCGTAGGTTAGTATGGCCTAGTTAAAGTCAGACCTGAATCCCTAAAAACTGGTGTTCTGAGATGTTCTCTGTGCTGGAGACCAACCTTGAAGACCGGCAGGAAATTCTACTGGTTTCTGTCTCTGTGGACCTGACATAAAATCCTGCCACACTGTTCAGAAGGTTCTGCTCTACTTGGTGCCGGTCGGACCCAGAAGACGCCAAAAACAAGAACTGAACTTTGCCCTCTGGTCTTACCCAGGACTCCAGCTCCTTCAGGTCCTCCATTGTGAACGTTGATCTGAGGCAGAACCTGAAACACATTCAGGATGTTAAACCCAGCAGCAGGACCTGTTGGACCTTCAGGTCCTCCAGTCCAGAGGAGGACGCCACCTGGTGGTAGACGGCGGGCGGAGACGTGACCAGGGTGGGACAGAAGGACGTCACGCCGTGTTCCAGGATCTTCTTGGCCACCAGAGACACTCCGGTGGAGACGTCTTCGCAGGGCTGGGAGAAGTCCACACCGTAGCCTCCTGCGGGATGAGAGAAGACGTCTGAGCGTCCGTCCCCCGGCCATCCTCTTGAGGGACGCGTCCCTCACCGTTGATCTGGACGTCGATGAAGCCCGGGGCGACGATGGCGCCTGCGCAGTCGAGGCGGCGGTCGGCGTAGCCCTGCTCGTCAAAGAACAGCTTCTCCGGGTCCAGGATCTTCCCGTCCCGGACCCACAGGTCCTCCCTGCAGAGACAAAGGACGCCCAGGTAACCCGTCCTCCATTTTCAAAATATCCTAACATTTCCAATAACAGAGAAAAGCTCATTAAAACAATGAAGAAGTTTGGGGTTTTGAATAAATTTAGTGTTGGAGCTCATTTATGACCTTTTACTTCAATCCCAGATAATTATCAGTCGGCTTGGCCTAAATAAAACCTTTTCAGTTTCCTGAATCAGGAAGTACCGTAGCAACCCCCTCCTCTAGCAGGTGCTGACAGAGTGATCAGGTATATTATATTTAGCCAGTTCAGCTCAGATATACCTGACACCAAGCTAAGCAGGTTATGTTGCTTTGACCTTTGACCCTGCCAGTACCTCTGCAGCTTGTGCTCCCTCAGGATTCTGCAGTTGGTGAACTGGATGATGGGAGCGTCGGACACGGACTTGTTGGACGGCATGTTGGCGCCAGGTGGCTCGGCCAATCAGACGCTCCGCCCTGCCGGCGGCTAGGCCAATCAGACGCTCCGCCCTGCCGGCGGCTAGGCCAATCAGACGCTCCGCTCTAGGGAAGCGAAAGCTTTTTTTTTTTTAATTATTAAAGGACGTTGAAAACAACAAAAACAGCTTACATAAAAACTGTAGAAGACAACCAGTGGAGGAATAAAATAAAAGATATTAAGAATAAAACCAAATTACGGACTTCAGTCAGAACCGGAAGTTTTTTAATATGTTCTCCATTTTTTAACATTAAAGATGAATAAAAATAAAATGGCTTCAGCATCAAAGGAGCGCGGAGTTGGACAGGAACCCGGTTCCCAACATTGGACCAGAACCTGAAGACTCGGTTCACATAAACACATAAATCAAACTCAAACGTCTCAAGAACCTGACAGCACCGATTCTGTTCATGACGAAACGGGTCGCAACCAGCAGGAAGGTACCGATTCTGTCCAAGTTGGCACTCAGCCACACAGCCTGTTGTTCCACCCTGGACCGACCCCGGGCCAATCAGAACCAGAACCCGTTCAGCTGGACCCCGAACCATCTACACAGGCTGTCTGGTTCTGCCTGATCCAGAAGGGTTAATCTCTAGGTTCTGTTGGATTCCAGAACCGGTACCAGAGCCAGCGACCTCCTTGTTTTATGGAGCTTTTCCCGTGAAGCAGCCATCATGGCGGACTCTTGTCTTAGCTTCTCTGCTGATGCGAACTTTGACCCCTGACTTGTTTCTGCCACTGTGGCGTCTCTGCGCCGGACTGCGTTTAAAACCCGTCCATTTCTGGAAGAATCCGGAATGACTCCGGTTTCTGACCTTCTCACAGAAACCGGTTCAGAGCTCCACTGGTCATCCTACCTGGAGGTTCCTTCGGCACAGACTAACCCCCGGAAACAGGCCCGGTCGTGGTCCGGTTCGGACTTCTGGACCTGGAAAGAGCAAATGTTCTCCAGAAATCCCAGTAAGAACCTGGAGATGCTCGGGGATTTACTGGTCTAACTGGAGCTGGAAGGGTCAGCAGAGTAAGTGTTGCAGTCATGTGACAGAACACAGCTGCAGGTCAGCTGACCGGAAGCGAAGAGTCAGCTGACCGGAAGCGAAGAGTCAGCTTCAGAGCTCATCTCCTGCTGAAGATCTGATCTGATCCAGAAGGATCAGATCAGATCATGTTGACTAAAACATGAATTTATGTTTTAGTCAAGTCTGAAATCTGCATCCGAATATTTGTTTTTATTACATCACCTGCTACATTACAAAAAAAGAAACAATTACTTCAAAATAATATATATTTAAGACAGTTCGGGTAGAAAATGTGGAATTAAAAATGGACGTTAAAATATGTATTCAGTTTCACTGCTCTTTGTTACATATTGTATATTTAATTATATTTTGGTTTTTCACTCAATTATTCCTTGAACATGTTTTAGGTGACAAACTAAACTATAATCCACCAAATCGAATCAATTATTTAACATGAAATATTGTTTTTGTATCTTGTGCAAAGCTTCTTATATTCTTATCTTCTCGGATTCATTCAGTTCAAATATCAAATGTTATATTTTTCAGTGTAACTGAACCAAAAGGCCCCCCCCCCCCCCCCCGTCTCCCTCCAGTCCTCCCAGTCCACATTAAAGCCGGTGTTCCCAGTAAACCCAGATTCTTCCCCCATCCGGCCAGTGTCCATGGCGACCAGGCCGAGTGGGAGCCAATCAGGAGGAAGACTCTAGCAGCAGCTGACCCAGCAGAACCAGAACCAACCAGAAACAACCACAGGAGGTTCTGCTGGTTCTGGTTCTGCCGGAGGAGCAGGTTGGTCGGGTCCATCATTAACAGAACCGGTGCTGTGCTTGGCTGAATCTTCCTGCTGGAGGTTCTGGCCGGGTCCAGTCTCCTCCCTGCATTCCTGCAGGTTAATGATTGCCGGTCCGGTCCAAGTAGGGGGCAGCGCCGCCAACGGGCCGGGCCCAGAGGTTCTGGGAGGTTCTGGGAGGTCGGTTTGTGGTCAATGATTCTCGCAGCGCCGGGTTACTGGATCACCAATTAGAGCCGGAGGTTCTGATCCAAATGCTTCCTCTGAACCCGACCTGTTGGACAAAACAGATCTGAGGAGCGGTTCTGGACCCAATACTACCAGCAGAACCTACAGGTAGACACGGTGGTAGCAGTGCAGTGCTCTGGGCCGGGCTGCTGAGCCAGAACCAGAACCAGGACTAGTATGAGCTAAATGGACCTCTGCTCGTCCAAAAGGTTCTGGATGATCCAGCCTCCCTTCATCATAGTGGACCAGAAGTTTACATACATCTGGACTCCAGAGAGGGATGAACACTTTCCTGCTGGTCTCAGGCGTTCAGAGCTTTCAGTTTGCAGCGTCGCATTTCAGCCGCAGGATCGTCTTACCTGCAGAGCAACACCTGCTTCAGGTTACCATGACGGCGTTATGAGGTCAGTGTTACCTCATCACTGGTAAGGGAGGGGCTGGACCCCCCGCTGAGCCAATAAGGGAAGAGGAAACAGCAGACGGAGGCACCATGATGGCAGGAAGACATCAGGCTGGACACCATGACACTCTGGAAAACTCTGGAATCTGAGGAAGCACACTCCTGCTAGCCAAGCATCACCTTGCTGACTCCGGGGTGTTTCCTCTGATAACTATGCTAGCACAGCTAGCGCAACATAGCCTAGCTAGCGTAGCACCTTAGCCGACTCCTGCTGCCACACGGAGACAGGCCAACCAACATGGAGCTCCGAGTCCAACCCTCTCAGGATCCGTCTGTGAATTAAATTTGTTGTCTGCCACGTGGTCAGGCTGTTACACTGTGACCTCTGACCCTGAAAGTAAAGTCCAGCAGCACAGATCAAGTCTGTCCTCATCTCAAAGTCTCTCAGCTGTTTGTGGAACTTTAGCCAGGATTTTAGGAAAACCTGGAATCTTTCAGGAACAAGATTCCGGCTGAAGTCCTGAGTTTTTCTGATTCCTTATGACAGCAGCAGGTTTTTATTTAAATGGACTTTATTTATAAATTTGTATTAAAATACAGTTTATGAGCCACTGAATGAGAACTAGTTCATGTTGGTACCTGAAACATAGATCAGAATTTTCAAATATTGAACTATGAACATGAACCCATTCATAACAAACTGATAACAAAACATGTCGGAACAAATTTCACTACAACACTATAAACTACAGATTTACTATAGAAATATTGTTCATTTAGTTTTTTATCATTGGACTCTGTTTCATCTGTCTCCTGCTTCCTCTAGAGGCGTTTCCAGGAACCAGGCATGGACAAGAGTCTACAGGACGGGAAGAGGCGCTTCCCTGAAGCTTCCGAGCCATTTTAGTCACTGACCCTTTCTTCAGATGAGACAGTTGCTAGCATCCAGTGCAAGAGGCTCCATCCGGCTGCTAGCATCCATTGCAAGAGGCTCCATCCGGCTGCTAGCATCCATTGCTAGCGGCTCCATCCGGCTGCTAGCATCCAGGGCTAGAGGCTCCATCCGGCTGCTAGCATCCAGGGCTAGCGGCTCTCCCAGGTCAAACAGTTGGTCCAGGTTGACGGTGGAGCCGCTCAGGAAGTCGCCGCGGTCCTCGTCCTCCGGCCAGGGTGTCTCCAGGAAAGCGGTTGCTAGGAAGGTCTCCTCGTCCAAGTCGTTGCCACTCTTGGGTGTAGGAGGGTCGGCAGCGGCCATGATGGGGCTCAGAGAGTCGCCCCCATCCAAACTCAGCTCCCCCCGGAGGGCCGAGTCCAACAGGCTGTCCCAGTCAAAGGGGCCCTTCAGGGGCCCGGCCTCCCTCTGCTCGTCCACGCAGAGCAGCGGGGAGCTGCAGTGCCGGGTAGCCTCGGAGGCACCGCTCTGGGATGCCAGCACTGGCTTCCTCTTGGTGCCGCGGCGGCCGGGGGCCAGGGGCCGGGGGCCCGGCGGGCCGCGCTCAGACAGGCGGGGGTCCCGGCGCTCCTCGGTCGGTGGTAGCAGGTGGATCCGGAACGGCGGCGTGCGTCGGGTCCGGTGGGTGCCGCTGAGCAGGCGCTCGGCGTAGGGTGGGTCGATGCGCCAGAAGCCGCCCTTACCCGGCTCGTCTTTGCGGCGGGGGACTTTGATGAAGCACTTGTTGAGCGACAGGTTGTGGCGGATGGAGTTCTGCAGGGAGACATTCTGAGTCAGGGCAGGAAAACACCCGGAAGGCGACCTCTGACCTCTGTTAAATATTGTCTGCCCAACAACAACAAAATGCTGCAAGACGTCAGAGCTGCTGAGCCAATGGCGCGTCAATCATTCCCAGGGAGGCAGAACCTACCCGGAAACCTGCTGCCAGGGAGGACTTTGACTAGGACGTTTTGCAGAGGGGAAAACTATGACAGAGACTCTTTGACTAGCACCTTACTCATGTTCTTTTCCCTAAATAATTATCTGTTATTATCTGTTAACACAGATGATGACAAATAATATTACTATAATATTATTTGTCATCATCCGTTATCATCTGTTATCTATTATGTGTTATCATTTGTTATCAGTTATTATTATTTGTTATCTGTTATTATCTATTAGGGTTCAGCTTAACTGAATAATTGATCAGCTGACCCTGTTGGGGGGTTGTGAGGCTATCGCCCAGGGCTCAAACAAGAAGGTCTCTAGGCCAGCAGGGGTCGCTGTGATCAGCTTCCGGTATGACTCCAGATAAACTCCCACCCCCCTCCAGGTACATCCTGCCCGTCGGCCTGCATACAGTCCAGATTGTGTGAGGTGTGTGTGACGTCATGCAGCTACCTGCCAGGTGGGGTCCGCGTGCCGGTAGTAGCAGAAGTTGTCGGTGATCCACTGGTAGATGGAGGCCAGGGTGAGCTTGCTGCGCTGGCTGGCCTGCATCGCCATGCAGATCAGCGTGGCGTAGGAGAACGGCGGCTTGATGTCCGGGTTGCTGCGGTAATCCACCTCGGCCGGGCAGTGGCCGCGCGCCGCGAGACCCGGCGGGGCCCGCATCCGGCTGAAGGCCGCCGCGGTGGGCTTCCCGGGAGTCAGCGGTGACCCGCTGCAGGAGGCCGGGTCCCCGGCCAGGGGCGAGGCCGGGCCGCCGGAGCCCAGCTGCTGCTGGCCCTGCTGCGGTCCCGGAGCCCCCAGGATGGAGAACTCCTGCAGCCACTGCAGGTTGGTCAGGCTGTCATCCAGGCCGCAGCTACAGGGGGCCCCGCAGCAACCCCCGCAGCTCCGCTGCTCCTCGGGGCCCACCGGGCTCAGAGACAGCATGGCTCCCCGTCCTGCTCCACACAGGGCTCGGTTCTGCTACCCGACTCGATCCTCGAGGCAACCTGGCCGCTAAAAGTGAAGAAGACAAACATTTCTGTTTTAATGACTGCATGCCAGTTTGACGCATATCTTTGCGCTGCCGCAGCGACCTCTGCGTTTCCTCTGCTGCTAACGGCTGGAAACTACTAGAAACTACTAGGAACTACTGATGATACTAATAAAATGGTGAAAATATTAAAATGTGACTTAACTCACGTTATCTGCTCATTTGGTTTTTCTCATGACATTTTACCCGTTATGTCCTGATCTCCGCCAGTCTCTTCCCAGCAGCCTCTTTTATGGCATTAATAATTAATAAAACCACTTTGGCTCTAAATAACAGTCAGTAAAAGTATCAGTTTGGATATTTCAGGCCTTCGGAACCAGAAGCATCCAATGGATCCAGAAACTCACCTTGAAGAGAAACCTTTAGATCCCAAAGAAAACAGTTTGGTGAACTTTAAACCCGGACACCTTCAGTCTGCGCCAATCCCGCTTCAGTCTGCGCTCCTCTGTGCGTGTGTGTCCGCCGCTCGGGGCTCCGCCGGGCGCCAGTTTAATACCTGCTGACGGAGGTTTGTCCCGGAACCATGGTAACGGGACACCCCCCAGTAAACAGCTTCCCACTCACCCATTGGCCGGCCGGTTTCCATGGTGCTGCCTTTCTAACCACTCTGCAGCTGACCGGGGAGGTTCCCAACCTGAGGCCCGAGGCCTCTCCAGGGGGCCCAGCTGGAGCTGGGAACACAGACTAGAGTCTGACTGGACCAGAAACTCAGACATAACGTATTAATAATTCATCATCTGCCTTTCTGTCAGTTTTCAAAGCTTTGAACTAATTTCTCAGCTGGAAAAGCTCAACATGGCAGCATGGCTCAGCAGCTGGGCTCTGATTGGCTGCTTAGAGGCAGCATGACAGCCAGGCGGCGAGAAGCTGCAGATCATCTGCATGTTTGAAACCTGGAGAGCTTTGGAGTGACGAGAACCGCCAGCTGCCAAAGCACAATGCAATCAGATCCCATCTGTTCTCACAATAAACCCGATCTGTTCCTCTTCCAGATGTGGAACTAAACCCGATAGTTTTCAAAGCGTCTGCAGGCAGAACGGCCGAGTCGCATTTTAGACGACTGTTACATCATCAACATGAGACATGCGGCAAATTCAGCAGCAGCAGAAGAAGACGAAGGCAGATGGTAAAAATAAACAATGGCTGAAAATGATGATAATGAACCGAAAGCAGTCTGAGTCAGTGAACGCATCACATCCCAACCCGCCACTCCTGGTCCAACTCCAAACATGACCGGGTCAGAAGCTGCAGCCAACGGTCCACTAACGGTCACTGTTAGCTGAGCTTCCTGCTTATTTGTTTGTTTGTTTCCTTCATGTGCTGACCGTGCTGTCGTTCTCTGCAACTTTACAATTCATACAGAGACGGCGGCCATCTTTACTGCTGTAAACAGAGAGCTACAGCGGCCATCTTTACTGAAATCCATCCAGAGATGGCAGCAGCCAGAACCTTTTAACTCCAGACTGATGGTCCATTGGCAGGACTTGAACCTTGACCCCTGGAGCTTGATGTTGGGAGGATCAATAGTACCAACTGCCTCTCCATGCACAGTTTCTGAATTCACTGAAAATTAATTGGGTTGTTATTCTTTCCTATGCTCTGTTTGACAGCGTTCCACTTTTGGAGAACGGACCAATAGCAGACCACAGTCCAAACTTTCCAGGTGAGTTTCAAGAGGGACAATAAATGTAGTTTTTCAAATAATCATCAGAAACTCAGCAGATTTATTGGAAAACTTATTGGAAAGAAGAAATATTTCCAGAACAGCTGTTAGCAGCAGCAGCAGCTTCACGCAGTTCACCCCCTGACCACCAGCAGGCGATGTGGGTGAAGTTTGTTGCCCAAGGACACAACAGGAGGACAGAGCGAGAATCAAATTGCAGGACAAACTCCTACCAGCGCCACCACCATCGTTCTGGTCCAGGTCAAACGGTGGCAGTGTGCTAGCTTCCTGTTTGTTTTGGGGATGGTATGCTAGCTTCTTGTGTATGATGGTGTTATGGATAAAATTATTCTGTGTTTCCTCTCAGTTTTATCTGCTCACATACACAGCTGCTACTTACATAACTATAACATTTAAGACTGGCGTCAGTCACACATCAACAAAACCCGATTAAACAGGCCAACACCTTAGAGAGGGAGCAGAATGACGAGATAAAAGCAGAACCTGCGCAACAATCTTTGCTTCACTTGGTGTCACCTCTAAAGTGAGCAGAGTGGAACCCAGCGCTGGACGGTGAATGTCACTCTGTATCTATTCCACATGCATGACCTGTAACAGCTGATCCTTTAAAAGCCTGTTTTACGCTTAACAAAATCTAATTATTTCTCAAGGTAATAACACTGAGGAGTTCTGGTCGGGTCGACTCCTGGGTGGAGCACATAAGGGAAAATAGGTGAACTGCAATGCTGGTGATGGCATGCTAGCTTCCTGCTAACGTTGGTGCTGATATGCTAGCTTCCTGCTAATGTTGGTGATGCTATGCTAGCTTCCTGCTAACATTAGTGATATATGCTAGCTTCCTGCTAACATTGGTGCAGATATGCTAGCTTCCTGCTAATGTTGGTGATGCTATGCTAGCTTCCTGCTAACGTTGATGATGATATGCTGGCTTCCTGCTAACGTTAATGATGGTATGCTAGCTTCCTGCTAACGTTAGTGATGATATGCTAGCTTCCTGCTAATGTTGGTGATGCTATGCTAGCTTCCTGCTAATGTTGATGATGATATGCTGGCTTCCTGCTAACGTTAATGATGGTATGCTAGCTTCCTGCTAACGTTAGTGATGATATGCTAGCTTCCTGCTAATGTTGGTGATGCTATGCTAGCTTCCTGCTAATGTTGATGATGATATGCTGGCT